ATGTTTTAATTTTGATGTGATTTTCTTTGAGAAACACTGTGATTTTTCTGTGTTAGATGCTATAAAACTAAACTTTAATAAATTAAATCAACAAACATGTCGCACATTTTAAACAAAACAAACTGTTTCCCAAACACATGCTTCCAAGGAGATTCCATAGCTCCCAATAAGCTCTTAGATTATACAAAACAAATCTCGCAGTTAAGCACAAACTTATTGGAGATCTTAGTAAATAACTGTTTTTTATTGTAAGTATTTATTATGATGCTTAACAACTCAGCTAGCAGAAGCTAACTGTGAGCATTAGCAACTCCACCACATGGCAAAACTCCTCCAGGCTTGTGTTATTTGTGGAGATAAAACATCAAAGTTGTAAAGCAAACTGAGTCAGTCGTAGTTACATTGCTGTTAGCCAATCAGAGGTGAGATGTCAAAATATCAGGAAATAAGACTCCAAATTCTGCCGTCTGAAGCTCTCCTCTAATCTGGTAATCCAAATCTTGAAACAGGTGCACCAGGGCGTTTTGTACCCAGAGTATGACTTACAGGTACGGCCAACTCAGCGGCCTTGTGGTATGAGTGTCCGCCCTGGGACTGGGAGGTCAGGGTTCAACTCCCGGTCGGGTCATACCAAAGACTTAGAAAAATCCATAAGAGGTTGAATTGGGGGGTTAAACTACCAAATGGTTCCTGAGCGCAGCTGTGTCTACAGCTCACCACTCCCCCAAGGGATGGGTCAAATGTGGAGAACAAATCACACACACACACACACACACACACACACACACACCAGTGTGTGACAACTAGCGGGTCTTTCTTTCATTCATTCTCACAAGAGACCACTGTAAATGTATTAATTAAACAAGTGTTTAACACCTTTAAAGCAGCAATCTGGAATTATCCATCCATCCATTCATTTTTTGCCACTCATCTGAGGTCAGGTCACAGGGCCAGCAGCCTAAGCAGGGAGGCCCAAACTGCCCTTTCCCCAGCCGTTTGGGCCAGCTCTTCTGGGGGAATCCTAAGGCGTTCTCTGGCCAGCTGAGAGACATGGTCCCTCCAACGTGTCCTGGGTCTACCTTTAGGCCTCCTCCTGGTTGGATGAGCCCGGAAAACCTCACCAGAGAGACATCCTGACCAGATGCCTGAGCCACCTCAACTAGCTCCTCTCGATGTGGAGGAGCAGCAAATCTACTCCGAGCCCCTCCCGGATGACCAAGCTTCTCACCCTATCTCTAAGGGAGAACCCAGCCACTCTGCAGAGAAAACTCACTTCGGCCGCTTTTGTCCGAGATCTCGTTCTTTCGGTCACTACCCAAAGCTCGTGACCATAGGTGAGGGTAGGAACGTAGATCAACCGGTAAATCAAGAGCTTCAAGAAATCGAGAAACCTTTATGTGTGATTTTGTGGAAATCCATAAAACTGATAGTCTTACCCTGTACTGTGATTCAATGTATGCATCATTTTAAACATCATTTTGCTAAGCCCTACCCCGTCCCGTAGAGCCCCATGCAATTTCAATTGAGCACTGCGCATGTTAATGCTAGACATCCGCTTATGACATCACAGAGCGCTTTTGTGGAAGTGACTGGACTGTTGGCGACCTTTCTTAAAGACAAGTGTAGCGACATGAATGGCCTCATTTGTGACCCAAAGGTCACACTTCCTCAGCTGTTTCAAGCTGTCCTGGCTGCACTTCTATCTACAGATGATCCATCACAGGAGACTGAATGTCGGTCTACCACCCCTTTAATCTGACTGCTGTTCCATCCGCAAGACGAAGGACACATCAAGATTTAAAATAATCATTTTTAATAAACTCTTTTCACTGTTTATTACAATGTTCATAAATAATCATCAAGGTTCATTATGAATGTATTTAATTTCTGAAATGAATTATTATTCTTTGGTTAATAATAATTATTATTTATGATAATCAGTAATGTTTAACAGTGACAAGAAGATCATCTGCACTTATACACGCCATGCAGGACACAGTAAATCAGGTTAAGGTTAACTGCACTCACATGTCTTTGTCACATGACAACCCAGAACTTTCTGTCTCTGAGAGGGCGTGTTCTGAGGTATGTTAAATCTACATGTCAAAATCTAATTCGTTAGAATAAGATTACCGGCCGTCTCTTAAAGCCTAACTCATCAGTTCAAGTTCAGTTCTCGAGCTCACTAAATTCTCTCCGTGGCAACGAGAGTCCAGAGGATCGAGTCGGCCGTTTGAAACCTCTACTAAAGCTTTTCTGTCACGCCGATAGAATCGCTTCAACAGAAACGCCATCTGCAGCACAAGCTGATGCAACGAGATTCCTTAAGAATCTGCTCAGACGCAAACCAATTCCACACCTGTGTGCCTGCGGCAACTCTAGGACATGAGAGTCGGTACCATTGGTCTCCCCTACCGGACCGAGTACCCAGAGGCTGATCAACATCCTCCCTTGACCTCCGGATCTGAACAGAGGGTCGTCTGAACGGTGAGGTAGAACACAAGATTGCATCTGAATGCATCTTTTATTAAGAAATAATTTAGCTTAACTGCAAATCAAATTCTTTCACCCAGAACACATTTTCTCTCTCTAAGATAAAAAACTGAGCACCTATATTCACACCTCCAAACACACACACTTCATTTTTAGTTTCATCCAGACACAGATTGCTTTAATACAGGGTATCTGCAGGTTTAAGGAAGCCAAATTTAAGACTTTTTAAGACCTTTTTAAGGCCACTTTGACCAAATTTAAGCTATTTAAAAAAATTAAATTTAAGCTATAATATCCAGCTATTGCCTGGAACCGGTGCTAACCACGTAGCGAACGTGGGATTAGCCATCCAGTTACCATTAAACTTGCACTTCCCCATGGCACAAGCCCCCACTAGCGTAACCAGCTAATGTGCTCATCTAAAAATAGCCCCCTTTCACAACCAACTGAACGTGTATGGTTCCGCTTACGGCAACATTGTACACAAAAAATGCTGAAGACTAACTAGAAATCCACAAAAAATTTATAGAAATAAAATTATCTTGTTTATTGGGTCTTTGGTGATTTAAGACCTTTGGAAACTGTATTAAAGGATTATTTGTCATTTTTAAGGATTTTTAGGGCCTTAAATTTGGAAAAGCTAATTTAAGACTTTTTAAGGACCCGCAGATGCCCTGTAATACCAAGTTTTTAATACCAAAGCCTTTTATAAATTGTCATTTATGAATTGTCTTTTAAACTGTCATCTTTAAATTGTTAGTAATAAATTCCTTAACTTTTTAAACTTGACTCTCCTTTGAAATAAGACACAGAGTGGTGTATCTGGTCATTGAACGAGCAAAGATCTCTTTAGATCTTCTGAATTAATAAATAAACGTTTGCTATTAATTTAACATTCTTAAATTAAATATTAATCTTTTGATTAAATATAGACCAAGCCAGTTGGTGTATGAACTCCTATAGATTATAAGTTTCATTGCCAATTCGTTTGATCTTTCTCAGAATTTAACAAAGCTGAAAAGCAACAGAGTTAAATTCTGTTTATGTAGATTAACAACACTACACAAGTTAGTTTTTAAAATATATCTATGAATAAACAGCATAACACGAGGATCATAACTGTGAAAAAACGTGTTTGAGCCCCGCTGGTCAGCTAGAGGTGTGCGTTCAGAGGCGTTGCTTCCAGCAGAACATGTTTCCACCTCTAGATGGTGTCCAGTGTTGCCATCTGTTTTTGACTGAAAGTAGCTGAAGTTCCCCCCAAAAGTCACTAGATGACGCCAGATGACGTCATGTGCTAATTTGCATACGATGCAATGACGTCATCTGGTTTGTGTGATGATGTCACCATGTTTGCGTCATGACGTCACCGGTCTTGTAGAGTAAATCAAACAAAACCCGCGTGATTTTATTTAAAAAACTATTTAATTTATTTTTTTATATTTTATAAAAAACCCATAGAATACAAAACAGCAGCCTTTAAAACATCAAGGAATGATGGCACAAAAAACTGGGAGGAATATTTCTATTTTGTCTGAAGAGAATGGAACTCGTAAACACAACAATATCAAATCAATAGGAATGTATGCATGACTGAATTAAAATGAATTTTCTGTTGTAGTTTTCAAGTGCCTTGAGATGTATTCTTCTGTTGTGATTCAGTGCTACATATTGACCTAACAGATAATACATATATTTTTTGTTTTAGTTTGGTTGTGTTGTTTTTAGTACTTTTGTGTAAAAAGTAGCAGGCCGTATTTAGTATTCAGAAACGTTACATGCAAACTGCCAATGACCTGAGGTGTTTGTCTTACAGTATTATTCTGTTTTTTATAAAAGTTTTAAATGTGCTACGTTACTGAACTCATCATAGAGTTCCAATGTTCCTTGAATGCACCAAAAGTGGTGCTAGAAGCCATGTGTGAGTGCGACGCTGCCTGCCAGTGCCAGCCGAGCTCAGCTGCCGAAATGCGGCAGGATGGCGGAAGGAGCGGTCGCCCTTTATGCAGCTCCGGTGGCGATCTCAAATAATGGACTTGTGAAAACCCACAAAAGGTTTGATTGGTCAACGGGGGTAGCGTGATCACGCTGCACGCACATGCGCAGATCATTTTCTTTCTGATCCTCTGGAAGGAAGGAAAGTCCTGTCGCTTCAGATGCATCGCTAATCTGCAGGTGAAGTCTGCTTCAAAGTTGTAGTCAAAGTAGCTGAAAGGGTCAGAAATGTCGCCAGATTTGTCGCTAGGCGCTTTTTTGGAAAAAAAAAAAAAAAGTCGTTAAGGGGGTCTGAAAAGTCATTAGAAATGGCGACAAAGTCGCTAAGTTGGCAACACTGACGGTGTCCTCTGACAGAAATATCCAGATTTTTATTTAACCAGGAATTTCATGGAGGTTGAACTCTCCTTTTTCAACTAAGACTCAGTAGAAACGCCCCAGTAATAAAAACTGAGAAGATAAAATCATTTAAAGCTGACACAGTCAAACAGGATGTTGTTTTATCCTCTTACCCAGGTCTAGTCGCTGGCACAGAGAGCCCAGGCCCTGCAGCACAGCCAGCTGCAGTTTGTAGGCCAGAGTGTGTGTGTAGACTGGGCCGGCCTTGGCGCTGACCGGAGCCTGCCGAGTCAGAGAGGAAGTGAGTCTGGGCAGGACCTCCTTAGAAACCCTCCTCCTCAGGAAGTCCCCGCACGCCTCGCCCAGAGTACACAGCACCTGATGTGAGACGTTCAGACAAAAAGGTTTGTTAAAATCATTTACAGGTTTAAAAAAAAAAGTCTAAATCAGTCAATTCTTTAATAAAAACACAACAATAAATCTCACACGGACTATTTCCATGTTTTTGACATAAATGTGACAAAATAAAACTCTAAGTTCTCGTATAAAAGAACTTCTGCCACACATTTACCTTTTCCAGACCTTTTTGGGTAACAATAAATAATGGAGTGAAGACAGAAATGCGGACATACCCTGAAGGCTCTGAGGACGGCTAGAGGGTCGTCGGCCGTGAGTCTCTGACGGAGAACCGGCCAGCAGCGGTGCGCCATAGGAAGCAGCTCGTTTTCTCTCTCGCTCAGCACATAAACACACAGCTCCAGAACCTCCAGAACCTTCGGACAAAAACAGCTGGTTCTGACTCCTGTGTGCGTACACGTATGTTCTGCAGGGTTAAAAACCGCAACTACGTCTGCGCTTCTAAATAAATACTACTAACCTGATGTTAGCACGTCAGCAGAGGCATGCTTTATTTTCTTTTTGAGCGTTATGAGGCCAACTGAGCTAAAGTTGCTTTTTTTATTTTGGGAAAAACCATCGTCGTTTGGGAGATTCATCACAAAATAAAAGTCTTCACGGTTCTCTTTAACCGAATGAAGTTGTACCTTGAGCCGGAGCTGGAGACGGGGGTCAGACAGCAGGTGAACGCAGCGCTCCGCTACCTCTTTAGTGATGATGAGGTGGGACGGAAGTTCAGATTTCTCATCAGGACCACAGATGTCTTCAGCATCTTCACCCTCTGAAGCAGGAGGAACCTCTGGATCAACAAAGGATTAAGAGTGAAGTGAAATGAGAATTCTTACTAACAGCATGTTCCCAACATGAACTACTGAGACAACAGAATCTACCAAGGTCTTCGGTGTCATCCACTTCTATCCCGACTCCCTCCGCCAGGTCTTTCTGCTTCTGGTAATCCAGCAGGAACTGGCGACAGTTGAAATCGTCAGTGGAGGTCTTGGATCTGGCAGACCCACCGGTCCTGCAGCGTGAGACGGGAAACCATCTTGCTAACAGGGGAAAAAAAATGAACGTATTGAAAATGGTGGGAAGTGGTTTAAAAAATAAGTATCTTCAATATTTTAACGAGAAACTTGTCAAACACAATGTGACAAAGATCTTTGTTTCCGGCGCTTTCAGAGTGCCTCATGGCGCCGTTCTAGGGCTTTCCTGCTTGTGGATTATTATGAACACAGGAAGTGAATATTGCATCTATTTTACCCCGGAGCAAGGGGGCGGTGTTGTATGAGTTACTGAGTTAGTGATAAATGAAAGGACAGCTTTATTAAATCTCACCCAGCGCCTTCATGAGCGCATGAAGCACAGAACAGAAAAGAGCAGCTGAGTGGTTGTAGCTGAGATCCAGAGCCATCAGCACGTCCTGAACTACGTCCCTGATCAGAGGCAGCAGGCTGGAGTCGGAGTGGGCCAGCATCACCGTCAGCACCCGCGGAGCCTTGATGGAGACCGGGGGGGGGGGGGGGGGGGGGGGGTATCAAATGAACAAAAAAATAACACTATTTAACTAAAGCTACTAATATGTAGGAACACATTTACCTCGCAGCTCGGGTAACTACTGAACAAACACGTCTCTTGTATTTCACTTGCTTTCCTACACACGTTAGTAATGTTGTAACGGCCACGTTCTGACAAAAGCTGCTTTAACGCAATCCCCACTCGAAAGGGATTAATTCATCTGGAGAATAATTCATCTGGAGAATAATTCACCGGACTTCACTCAACACTCCACAACTTCTCTTCCCCAGCTTCTTTTCAGGCATTTTACAGAACACCAGAGCAGAAGTTTGTTTCTTCTCTTTGAGCGAATCAAAGTGTCCAACTTTATTCGATAAAGTTGGTGACAGCAGGTGAAAACCTAGACACACACACACACACACACACACACACACACACACACACACACACACACACAAATATATTCGTAGAAATCCACTCATTTTTACAGGCTTGATATCAACCATAATGCATAATGAAACCATTAAAGAGTCATTTAATTTTTAATGTAAAAGATGTAGGCGCTAACAAACACCAGACTAGTTATCCAGTTATCTAATAAACACCGCATGACGCGCGCTGCTGTAATCTGCGGCGCCTCGCCTGAGCTGTGCTGCACAAAACTCTGATCGCGCTTACAGTTCATCCGTTTCAGATCGGCGTCTTACCGACTGCTTCTCCACAGTTTTATGCACCTTCCTCGCCTTAGCGAGTCCATGGAGG